ATATTGCTACCATAAATGTAAAAAATATGAAGCTGAGGTGTAGGTAGAACTTCGCCGAGTGATAATAAAACGAACTTTGTATTTTCTTAATGTTATGGGATTGTAAGGGTGGGTGGGTGTTATATCGAAACCGTGAAAACAGCTACACTGTAACACTGCTCGATCCGGAGCTGCTGAACCCTAAACCCTAAACCCTAAACCTTAAGGTTCAGGGAACCACCCACCCATATCCGCCTCGTTGGGGCTCAGGGTCCCTACTCAGCGGACCGAAGTGTCCTCCGGGGAGAACTTCCCGCCCACCACGAAGGCCATGACGTCGGCGCCACCCTTGGTGACGTAGTACCTGCAAGGGTTTTAGGGCTTAGGGTTTAGGGTTTAGGGGTTTAGGGTTTAGGGATTTAGGGTTTAGGGTTTAGGGTTTTTAGGGCCATCCTAGACCCTAAACCCCAAAAACCCTCCCGTAGCAGGAAAGCAGAACCCCAAAAGAGTTCTCCTAACAGAACTCTATATAGAACTCTAGTAACCAACCCCAAAAGAACGCAACCCTAAACCCTCCTATCAACCCTATAAGGCCCTAACCCCTATAAACCCGAAACCCTAGAATCCTTATAAACCCTAAACCCTATATGAGCCCCAAAGACCCTAAGCTACAATAGACCCTGGGGCTTCAGGGGTCTCCGGGGAAAGGGTTTAGGGTTTAGGGTTTTAGGGTTAGGGGTTTTGGGTTATGTAAGGGTTTAGGGTTTAGGGTTTAGGGTTTAGGGTTTAGGGTTTAGGGTTTAGGGTTTAGGGTAAAGGCAAGGGCACTTGCCGCCCTTGGCCAGAGACCAGCGTCCGCCGTCCGGAAGCTCCTAACGCGTTGGAACCATGCCAAGGGTAGGGCAAAGGTTTTAGGGTTTAGGGCATAGGATTTAGGGTTTAGGGCATAGGTCTTAGGTTTTAGGATTTAGGATTCAGGTTTAGGGCATAGGTTGCAGGGTTTAGGGCGGCTGGGGCTTTGCAGGGTTTATCGGGTGCCCGTTGTGGGTTTTGCAAAGCTGTTACAAGGCCAGTTATATTTGGGTTTCAAGCTATAAGACCCTCATTCCTACAATCTTACATCCCTAAACCACAAACTCCTGAACCCTGAACCCCAAACCTGAAAGAACGACTAACGCCGTACCTTTATAGAACCCTTACAGGAACCCTTTTAGGGTTAGGGCTCAGGGTGTGGAATGTGATGCTTTCTCCGAGTCTTGGGCTTTCTCCGTAGGGTTTAGGAGGTGTGTGCAATGTAGAGCGGTTGAGGGTTTTAGGGTTAGGGTTTAGGGTTTAGGGTTTAGGGTTTAGGGTTTAGGGTTCAGGGTTTAGGGTTTAGGGGTTTAGGGTTTAGAATTTTAGGGCTTAGAATACCCCAAAACCCTAAAGTTTAGGGGGTTTAGGGTTTAGGGTTCAGTCAGTCGCGAAATCGAATGCGATCTGATGTGCAGTGACCACTTCAATGTATGTAGCTTCTCCCGAGCTGCTTTCTCCAAGGCCCGAATTACACCCAAAACCCCGGGAAAAGCACGCAAACCTCGTTGCCCTGAATCAACGGTTTCGCGCCTTAGGGTGGTGTTGGGGTGAAAACACCTAAACCCTAAACCCTAAACCTAACGAAACCGGCGTCAGTCCTTGAAGCCGGCAGCGCGTAGGAGCGCTGAGCAGGCCGACACACAGTGATACCTGAAACTAACCCTAAGGGTCCATGTACTCATATAATATATACATTGGTTTAGGGTTTAGGGTTCAGGGTTTAGGGTTTAGGGTTTAGGTATATACATTGGCCTTAATGTAGTCCCTACAGAGGTACTTTAGGGCCCATGTATATGCTATATGAGTACATGGACCCTTAGGGTAAGCCCCGCATCGACAACGCAAGGGCCTTCTTAATAATTAGAATAGGGTTTGGGGGGGGTTCCTTTAAAGGGCTCGTCAAAAGGGTTCTGTAAGGGCTACTATAAGGGTTTAGGGTTTAGGGGCCTTAATCATGATGAGGATAAGGTTTTGGGGTATATTATGCTATAAACTATAAATATAATAAGGGACCCCCAAAACAATATAGGTAGTTATTGAGGCCCCTATATTAGTTGGTTTCTAACGGGGTCTGTCTTCGAGTTTAGGATCTAGGGTGGACAGGGTCTCGACAAGGGCGCTACAGGTGTTAGAATGCAACTGCCGCGTGTCTTCCAATGTTCTGCAAGGGTACATACAGTACAGACATTGCGGACATGCATACCTAAACCCAAAACCCTAAAACATAAACCCTAAACCGAGAGGGAGAGAGAGGATGCAGGTTCTGTAAGCTAGGCGAAAGCACTCCACGTGTTTACGACGCCATAGGTATGTTCTCCCAAGGCTCAGGCATTCTTCTGCTTTCGGTTTCTTGATGGGGTTTAGGCTTTAAGGCTTGCGAAATGTCTTAGAAAGTAGCCAGCAAACGCCATGATCGTGGCACTCGTTGCTCGTCTTGCACTAGGAGGAAAGAGGGAATCTTAAAGCAGGGTTTTGGGAAATGTCATACACATGTTTCCAAGCGGATTCCAGAAACCCGTGAGTCTGAAATAAATTGAAGGTTCTTGTGTTTATCTGGTGGTCGTTGTTTTTTTGCTGATGCCATCACCGCTGCTGATCCTACTGCTCCTGCTGCTGCTGGTGCTGCTGCCGTTCTCCTCCTCCGACAACTAAGAAAAACTTCATCACTACAGCCACTAGCACTACTTCTGCTAGGACTACTGCTACTAGGACTAATGCTACTACTGCTACTATTGCTGCTAGTGCTCCTGCGACCCCGACTTCTGTTACTGCTAATATCTGCTATTTAATTACTGCTACCGCTACCGTACCGCTACAGCTACGGCAGCTACGGCTACTGAACTGCTGCTGCTGCTGTTGACAACTACTGCTACTACCAGCACCAGCACCAGCACGAGGAGGAGCAGGAGGAGAAGGAGGGCAACGACTGCTTCCACTACGATGGCCGTGGCCATGCTTCTGCTGCTGGTGCTGTTGTCAGTGTCTTTCTTCTCTGGCTACTAACTTCGCCACGGGCATGAAATTTTATGAACATGACACTCAACGCGAAACTTAGCTGACAATGGAACCCTGAACTCTAGCCTCCAAAACAATATTAAACGAACTATATAACATCGAAAACCCGAAACCCACAAAACAAAAAAAAAAACACCAAAAATCTCAAATCCTTAAACCTCGCAAAGTTGACCCTAAACCGCTCGGGTTCTGAGTCGGTGGCGGTGAGCCGGTTTCGTTCACATAGTCAATGAACAGCTTGGCTGCCTCGTCCCCGAGCGTAATATGGGGGCGTTAACAATTAAGATAGGGTTTTGGGGCCCTCTATACTATACTTACAATAAGGAGCCCCCCCAAATAGCATTGGTAATTATTTAGGCCCCTATAGTAGTGTTTGCAGCTTCGGCTTCACGGCTTAGGACCTAGAGACTTAGGCGTTAGGGCCTACTTGGTCCTGATGCAGTTTTGACAAATCGTCTGGCTTCCTCAGGGTTTGGGGTTTAGGGGTTTAGGGTTTAGGGTTTAGGGGTTTCGGGTTCAGGGTCCTATCGGAATTGATTATGTCTGATCACGTGTAATGCGGAGCATGTACCGGAGCAGCATGCATACTTTGGTTCCCAAACACTACACTCTAAATACTGGCTGGTACCTACAATGCGATTATTTGGGCAATTGAACTCTCACGGCCTCTTGAAGGCTTTGTGCGCGCCGAATGTGGAACACATGCCTGCGCTTCTCTGTAGAGCTTTCTGGGCAGAGCCATGGGTCGCAAAGACGCGCCCCCATTGCCCATGCCGGCATCCTTGTAAAGCTCCCACCAAAGCTCCCACCAAACATCACCATCCCAATCCTCCCACCAAACATCACCATCCCAATCATGCGGTTGCCAGTCGTCCATGGACCCAAACCATCATAAGTCGTGGAAAAAACATGTCGAACACAGTAATCAGCATATGGAGACTGTGTCAAGTATATAGGGGCCTTAATAATTAGAATAAGGTTTTGGGGCCAACTATATTACAAGTTTAATGCCCTAAACCCGCAACCCCTAACCCTAAACTCACATGCAAGTTCAGTCTCCTTCGGCAAAGCTTTCATGCGGGGTTCTTAACAAATACAGAGGCCTTAACTATTTGTCCATAGGGGTTTAGGGTTTAGGGCTTAGGAAAGTATGGTTATAAATGGGAACGAATTATAAATCCCGATCTTGTTTCGTTGGGGTTTCACCCTAAACCCTCAAACCCTAAAACCCTAAACCCTAAAACCCGAAAGCCCTAAAGCCCTAAAACCCTAAACCCTTTGTGAGGGTGCCTTCGCAGCTTCTGCTTTGGCCATGTCCTCGCAAGAGTTGGGCTTCGAGGGGTCCAGAGTTCCCTGGTTCAGGGCTACGAAGCTCATGCCTGAAGCTGCCGCAAGCAGAGATTTGAGCGGGATTAGGGTTTAGTAAGGGTTTAAGGTTTAGGGTTTAATAAGGGTTTAGGGTTTAGGGTTCAGCAAGGGTTTAGGATTTTAGGGTTTAGGGTTTAGGATCTAGGGTTCCAAGAGGCAGCTGCAAAGTGCTATCGGTGCAGTGGGACGGGCCCTGGTTGCGACCGTGATCTCTCCGGCCCAAAACAGTTCTTGACCCTAAAACCATCTAAGTCTTATTTCCGAACTCAACATATATAAACCTTAATGTAAATTCTTTTGCACCGTAAACCCAAAACCCTCAAAACCCTTGCTGAACCCTAAACCCTAAAGCCTTATTAAACCCTAAACAATAAACCCTTACTAAACCCTAAACCCGCTTGAGAGCGTGTAATATAGGGGCCTTGATAGTCAAAGTAAAGTTCCCGTATAAAGGCCCCTACCAGGGCTACTATAAAATTCTGTGATATAGGGGCCGTAATAACTAGAACACGGTGTTGATGTATGTTATACTATACCTGTAACGAGGAACCCTCAAACTGGTATTGATAGTTCTTGAGGCCCCTATAGTATGGCATCATCGTACTCTGGCTTCTGCTGGACCCAAGAATCACGTGGCGTGCTTGGAGCCCAGAAAGGAACTCTCCCACCTTGGCCAAGGCATGTCTGCGGCCTGCATCCACATCCCAGCGGCACAACTTGCCTTTGGTCAAGGAAGAGGGTTTAAGGTTTTGGGTTTTGGGTTTAGGGTAGTGCTGCTGTTGTTGGCGTGGCTCCAGAACTGGGAGCAGTCATCCGCTTTCAAGAAGTGCACCCGGCCTGATGTTTGAACGTTTGACGCACAATCTGGTTTGTGCCGCCTGTCCACATGACTTTCCACCTCACGAGGTCAAAAAATAAGCGCCCCGATCTCGCAGCAGCATACAGGCATGGCGAGCACGGGGTTAAGATGACAACATCTTCGTCTGAAGTGGGTGAAACGAAGGTTCTGTACCTGCCTACTTACTACGCGCCCTGATCCTTCAAGAGATCAAAAGCCCTAGACCCCGAACCCCACAAGTTCCTGGATCAAGGAAGGGGGGACGGGCTCCGCGACACCAATGAAGCAGGGAACCCTCAATCCTAAGAGCCGGAAGCTGTAGACTATGCTGTGCTTTTAGTGTTTAGGGTTTAGGGCTTTAGGGTTTTAGGATTTAGGGTTTTAGGCTTAAGGGTTTAGGGTTTTAGGGCTTAGGGTTTAGGGTTTTGGGTTTTGGGGTTTTAGGGCTTTAGGGTTTCAGGGTTTTACGGTTCAGGGCTCAGCACGTGCTTGGACTACCAAAAACCGGGAGCCTGAAGGCCGCCAAAAGCACGTTCCCTAACTGTTTCATACACTCTTGCAAACCGGGGATTTCTGAAAATAGGGGACCTCAATATGGTACCCCAAATAGTAGGATCCCTACAATAAGGTACCCTTTATTTTCGGAAACTCCCAACCTGCATCCGCAACTTGCACCCTGTAATCTAGGGCCTTTTATAACTTGAAAAGGGCCTTAGGGTAGAACGGAACCCTGCGGAATAACTTAACGGCTGAACGGAGTCTTAAAACAGGCGGGACGCGACCAGGCGAGCAATCCCCGTCGGCAGGTAGCACACAGGACGTGCTCCGGTCGTGAATGTCCGGCACGGGCGGATGACAGGCGCTCTGCCAACATCTGGTGTCGCGCAAAGAAACAATTTCAAGAATAATCGAATAAGCTTCTTCAACGTCCATGCCTTGAACTTGTGGTAACTCATACAGCAAGTTCACAAAGCCCGCTTAAGCCGCGGGAGCTCCGGTTTGGTGGAGACACAGCCATCCCGAGTCATCGGCCAAGGCCCGGACGTTGTCCAGTTGATGAACTCGGGGATTACGGCTTTCCAATTGGCATCCAAAAGCCGCAACGCATCTGGCTCCTGCTTCACGCGCAGATGCATTCTCACTTATTAAGGCGCCATCCAGCGCTAAAATTCTCTGATCTCCACCATCAAACTCTTGCGCAGCTGAATCATGTTGATGCCTTCTGGTGCAGGCGACGTTGTTTCTTCGCCGGCAGCTGAACAGGCGCCACCTGGCTTTGGTCCACCGGAGGCTCATTCTGGAACTTGCCCGCGCAGTCTCAACCGTTCGTCGAACTTGTGGCTGACAACTAAACCCTAAAACCCTAAACCCTAAACCCTAAGCCCTAAACGCTGTATTAACCCAAGGGCACAATGGAGGATCTCCGAACTGCAACCCTGATCCCAGTATAGCCAAGAACTGCATCCGCAGTATCAAAGGACCGTGCCCCCCGCGAGACCCTTATGTAACACACTTCCAGAAACAAGCTAGGTTCTTTTTAACCCCTGAACTCTAAAACCCTGACAACAACCTGAGTTGAAGAAACTGTGCTTGGGGCTTCAAAACACCCTTACCGAAACCCTGCGAAGTCGTTGAAACAACTCTCAGAAAAGCCCTTAAACAGTGAGCTTCAACTTCTCCCCAAACCCCCAAATAAACCACCGCAAATCTCAAAACTCTTTAGGGCTTAGGGTTAGGGTTTAAAACTAAAACCTAAACCCTAGACCCCTAGACCCTAAACCCTAAAACCCTAAAGCCATAAACCCCTAAACCCCCTAAACCCTAAACCCCTAGACCCTAAACCCTAAACCGTAAACACCTGGCCCTAAACCCCTAGACCCTAAACGCAAAGCCCCTAAACACCTAGACCCTAAACCCTGAACTCCCAGACCCTAGACCCTAAACCCCTGAACCCTAAACCTTAAACCCTAAACCCCTAGACCCTAAACCCTAAACCCCTAGACCCTGGACACTAAACCCCTAAACACCTAGACCCAAACCCTAGACCCTAAACCCTAAACCCCAAGACTCTAAACCCTAAACCCCTAGACCCTAAACCCTAAACCCCTAGACCCTAAACCCTAAACCCCTAGACTCTAAACCCTAAACCCCTAGACCCTAAACCCTAAACCCCTAGACCCCAAACCCTAAACCCCCAGACCCTAAACCCTAAACCCCTAGACCCTAAACCCTAAACCCCTA